ACAGTCATACCACAGTGATATATGAGCACCCATGTTTATAGTGGCACAGTTTGTAATATCTAAAACTTGGAAACAGACCAATTGCCCATCAACTGGAGACTGGATGAAGAATATGTGTTTTTTTATAAAATGGAGTACTACTCAGCCATAAAGAATGAGAAACTAGAGACTTTTATAGCTAATTAGATGCACATTGAGGCTATATTCTTAAGTGAAATAAATATGACACACTTGTGTAAATACCAAATAGTTTCTCTGTTGTGAAAAACTAAAAGTGTAAATAATCAAAATGTATAATTGATATTGTGAAATACAAAGAAAATATCTAAAGGAATAGGGGAAATGGGAGGGAAAGGGGAAAGGAAAGAAGGAAAAGAAAAAATATGAGAAAAGGTAAAACATGGAAACAAAGTCTTTGTAAATTGGGAAGGGTGGAGGGGGTGAAGGCAGGGCAGGGGAATGGGGAAAAAGTAAGAACCAAGATACATCATGTAAAGGTACAAGGTCCCAATGAGGAATGTAACTGTATTGTATACCTAAAATGTACCAATAAACTAAATGGAAAAATAAAAACTTTATATGTAATATTTCAAGATAACTATAATAAAAGAATTCAAAACTTTCCAACACATAGAAATGATTCATGTTTGAGGTGGTGGAAATGCTAATTACCCTGATTTGATCATCACATGTGATATACATGTATGAAGCTATCATACCATTTTTATAAATATGTATAAGTATGTGTCAATTTAATGCAAACTGATAAGGAAAATAGAGAAAAAGAAACCTGAAAATGTTATGCAACAAGATCAACTATTTTATTCATTTAAATTTAGCTCCAAATTATTCAAACTACCTCTAAAATTCAAATCTAACTTCAAAGAGTATGTGTTTACCATCTTAGAGGAAATTGTGAAGGAATTATTCTCTGAAGATAATTTCAAAATGAAATTATAGAAAATAATTTGCATTTTAAGCAACATAGTGGTTGCATCATGGAATTAAGTGCAAATATATTTGGACTTGCAATCAAAAATTATGTATTTACCTATTCTTTTTTGACCTCTGCTACAGGTAGCCAGGCCAGAATGGCAAATATGACATTATCTCATGATTCTGACAGAAGTATCCCAAAAATGCATTTAACTCAGATTTATTTTTCACCATGAAGTCCTGTCAATAAAAGCTAAAATAAATGTCAGAGAGTTAAAACACTCCAGGAATGAAAAACTAAGCTTTGGTTTGTGTTTGAGGAGTGAAGTGATAGCATTTTCAAGTGCAACTCTCTTCTACTGCCTCCAAATTAAGCAATCATTATTACAGAAATTACTTATTTAGTTTTATAAAATAAAGGCTACAAAAGTCACCTTTAAAAAACCTCCCGGAAAAATCTTTCTGAATAACAAGAAGTCGCAACCTTTTCTGATCATATTCAGGAAATCCAACTGCTACCCTTGGATGCCTTCTCAAAAATTCCCATGTTATTATTATCATTGAAAAGATATTTTAAACCCCCATAGTTAATCGCTCTGATTAATGAAAATAATCTTAATTACCCTAATTTTTATTTACACATTGGAATATACAATTTTATTTGTATGTATACATGCATAAAGCCAAGCTGATACACAATGATTGATGACACCTGTACAAAGCATGAAAGAATATTCTCCAAATCTCATTAGAATGAAATTATTCAGATTAATAGCTCTGCTGGTAATGTGATTTAATCAATAAATGGTCTTTTTCAAGGGCATTTCACTTCACTGAATGCAATTAGTAAGGCTTCTTTTCAATTAAATCTTTTCTCAAGTCACACATGTAAGCCAATTTTCCTGTATGGAAAAAAAAAGAAAGATTATAATTGTGAGGCATGCTGTTCTGCCTGTTTCCTTTCCTAAAGCAAAAAGAAAATTAGTCACCTGTCTTGGGACAGTGAGGCTATAACAATGGTAGGACCATGAACAACAAAGCACAAAACTTTAGTTACCTTTGGAAGCCAGGGAGATAAACTCTGTATTATACAAGCCTCATAATTCCTTGTGTCCTTCAGTCATTCAATTTTGTTTTCTACAATTAAATACCAAAGTTTAGAAGTGATTTGGAAACTTTTCTAGACACATTTATTAGATTGTATTGTTTTTCCTTCCCCAGTCCTATTTTTCCCCACACATAATGTATGTAATATGATCCCAAATTGTTCATTAAAGACTTGATGTTCCTTTACATATTTCCAGTTTGTGAAAGTAACCCAAATATCAAGGCCTGCTGTCACTGAATGGGAAGCACATCAAACACAAGTTCTCTGATCTATGTTCTATAAAGCAGTGGTCTCCTAAAAGATCCTCAGAGAAAGGGACATCATAAGAAAGTACCTGCAGAAGGCAGTGAGAGAAATGTCCAGACTGCTTTACCCATAGCACTTCTGCTTTCATCTCTTTTACATAAAAAACCTTAGGGCTAGATTATATAAACTCTTCTATTGTACAAAAAAAGGATTGGATGGCATAATAGTAAAGAAATACAATACATAATTATTATTAATCTCACATCAACTAAGAATTTTATATGATTAAAAACCACCACCATGAAGGTATGGCATTTCTTTTTTTTTTTGGTACCGGGGATTGAACTCAGGACCTTGCGCTTGCAAGGCAGGCGCCAGAACCACTAAGCTAAATCTCCAGCTCAGTGTTGCATTTCTTAATCACACCTTTCAGAAACCAAAGTCATTTAAATTTTTATCTGGATTACCCATACTCATACAATCTATTACCCCATGTATTTTCTCATGGATATTTTAGGTTTCAGAAAATTAAAGAATAGGTCTAAGAAATGTGACAAGACCAGAAATCACTATTTTCTTCCCAGTCCTGTTAGCTCTAAATATGGTTCTATGTACTTAAATCAATTAATTCATATCATTTAGGGGATTGGTTGATAAATATTTTCCCTCTTTCATGTTCTTCCATGTTCTTTCATGTTCTTATATATACAAAGGAAATTTAGAGAAAAAATTATGTGATGTTAACTTTTCTCAATTTTTTATAACATTATTTCCAAACATTTTTGAAAAACTTTTGGTTATCAAATTCCTTTCAAGTAATATAAAGCTACTAAACTTTGTCTCTAAGTAATTCCTTACACTCATAGAAAAAATAACACCCAATTATTCTGCTTGGCACTTAAGATCTTCCCTTATGCAGCACAATTTTTCTAAGTTTTCTGCTTTATTTTCTACCTCCTCACTCAGTAAATTTTATTCTATTTAATACTCAGTTCAAAGATCACCTCTCTCCTGAATTTTCCTGTATCAAAAATGAGCTTCTCCTTATATATTCTCACATGTATTAAGCTTGTTTGCTATTTTATGCTGCTTTATGTTATTTTTTGCATCAATGCTTACCTAAGTGCTGTTTCCACGTAGCTCAAATATTTCAGAAGGATTCCACCATCCATCGATCTTTGAATCACTAGCAATTAGCAAAATGTCTACACATTGTGCAATTCTGATAATGTGTTGGGTTTTAAGCATTTGCATTTTTCTACTGCTTTCAACTTATTGCAAATCTACCCCATGAAAAAAGTGAAACACACCTTCCCTTTTTTGCACACACATGAAAAAATTTTTTCTTTTTTTCATGTCTTCCACGAAAAGCCTCCATGAGCAATTAACAAATACACATTGAACACCTCACTTGTGCCAGGCATCAAGTTAAGTACTGATGCCAATGGTCATTGAACTTACACTGTGGTGCAGAAACAGGAAAATATACAAAAGCAAATAAAATAATTGCAAGACTCCCATGGAAGTAACCAAAAGACCTACTTTCAGGTAATGCACTTGTAATACAACTGGTAGGTAATACTATGAGAGATAAGTATAGGCCTCTGTGTAGCCTATAAGACTAAGTATGAATAAAAAGATGGAGGAGGGTTTTAGATTTCCATAAGTATATAGTTTGTATAACTTTAATCTTGTGTAGCTTCAACTTTACAAAACTTTTTAAAAGACTTGCTCACTTTTAATAGGAAGAAAAGGGGCAAAGGGGAAGGAAGTGGGAGGGCTAGGGGAAAGGATAGAAGAGAATGGGATTAATATGAGAAAATGGAAAATAGGACCAAAATCTTTGTAAATAGGGAGGAATGGAGGGGTTGAAGGGGGGGCTGGGCAAGGGTGAAAAATAAGAACCAAGAGAGACTATGTAAAGGTGCAAATTTCCAATGATGAATGTCATTATATTGTACACCTAAAATGTACCAATGAGTAGAATGAATAACCGATAATGTAAAATAGGAAGAAAAGGTCCAAAGGGGTAGGGGTAGTGGGAGGGGCAGGGGAAAGGAAAGAAGGGAAAGGAAAAATGATGAGAAATGGAAAAAATGGAAATAAAGCCTTTGTAAATAGGGAAGGGTGGAGGGGGTGAAGGGAGGGCTAGGAATGGGGAAAAAATAAGAACCAAGATGCATCATGTAAAGGTACAATTCCCAATGAGAAATGTAATTGTGTTGTATACCTACAATGTACCAATAAAAGAATTTAATAAAAAAAAAAGACTTGCTCACTTTAGATTAAAAAGTCAAGCATATACACACACACACACACACACACACACATACACACATATGCTTCTAATGATTATTTTGGGAAGAAAAAAAAAAAACCTTACAGGGCTTCAGATTTCTCAGGACCCCCTCCCCCAACTATAGCCTTTACTTGAAAACTGGATTTCAAGAATGAAGTGGGTACACGTGGACAGAAAGAAGAAAGAAAAAAAAGACTTCAAGGGAGAATATGAGAAGGCTTCTCGGGAATCAAATTTTTCTTGGAGCACCAATGACTTCGGAGGATAAAAGAGGCGAGCATTTGTTAAGAAGGGGCTGCAGAAGGATTCAATTGAGGAAGGCCTTGGATTTTCTGTTGCACCTTCCATTCATTAACATCTTGTGCTGAGAGGACTTTTGTGTATTCAAAGGAGGAAAAAGCGGAGGAGGCTTTGAACCTGCGGGCTAGGGCCAGGTCTTGCTGCCCGCAGGTCTGGCGCACAGGCCAGCGGCGTCAACGCCCCCAACTGCACCTCCAATCTCCTTTCCTCTCGCGTTGCCTTGCTCCTAGCACCACCCTGACTCTGCTCATTGCTCGCTTTGAGACCCTGAGACCCTTCGCCTGCCACCTCCATTCGCAGCCGGCCGACTCACCTGAGACCACAGCCTTTGGCGTCCCCTCAGCCAGCCTGCTCCTCAGTTTCCGCTTTGATCTCCTTGGTGACCGCGTTACCTCGGTACCCATAGCAACCAAGCGGTTTGGCTGGTCCTGAAGCTGTTCTCCAGCAGAGGGGGCATGTTAGCTCCCCGAAATGTGAAAGGAGAGATTGGTCAAGGGAAGAAAAGGGCAAGGAAATTCAACAGGACCCAGGGGAGGTCTTGGAGATGCCAGATCTAACACTTGTCTACCATTTGGCAAGCACTAGTCCAAAGCTTTATGTAATATTTCATAACCCAATTCATACTTAAGAAAATTAAGGCCCTGAAAATTTGACTCACGATCACAAAGCTAGCAAAGGACAGACCCAACCAGTTTAGCTTCAGAATCCCCATATATGTTGTATGTTTTCTTGTTGATCAAAGGTTACAACACACAACTTTAGGATAAGAATTTAAGCCTCTTGGCAAGCCTAGAACTCTTTTCTTTATATCAACTATATGACCCATGGTGCTATGTGAGTATAATATGGAGTGTGTGTGTGTGTGTGTGTGTAACAAAAAAAAGAAAAGATGTACACACAATCAACCCATACTTCTCAAACTTTTTTGTTGTTGTTCTGTACAAAGAAGGCTTTGTAATGAACTCTTTTATTTTGGCTTCATAAATATGTTTCTGTTTTTCAGTTCAAGTTTTTATGCACTGAAGGTAAGATATGTGGTTGTTTCTACAATCAGTCACTTTATAAACTTTTACACTTAACTGTATTATACACATCCCAGTACTGGATTAACTATTTTTTTGCAATTATAAATAGTTGACACACAAGCCTTTGCATCACTTTGTATGTCAATATGTCTGGCAATATTTTCTCTTGTGAGATTCAATTTTATATAATTGTAAAAATCACCATAAATAAATGAAGACAATGAGCCTTTGGGGCATAAATCTGCGTTTTGGAGTCAGGCCAACCAGAAGTTCTAGTCCTACCATACTCACCTGCTATGTGAACTGAGCCAGTTATAAAGACCAGTCTAATTGGTTTAGTGAGGTAACAATACATTTAGTGTGCACACAGCACAGTGACACAGAGTGTGTTAGTGTTTAGTTCTAAGTCAGGCTGATAACAGGTACTTGATAGAGAATTGTGATGGTAACATGGCTAGGATATTTGCTATCATAGTACTCCTGAGGTAACTTCACCAGGTCCTTCCTTTAACAGAATGCATGTTTCAAGTGGATGTCTAATATTGTATTAGCTTAGTTTAGTTATTATGAATAGGCAGTCAGAGTATAATAGGCAGCTAAGTTAGAAATTAATATACAGTCAGAGAGGGATTGACCCTTTAAGAAGTCAGCACAAAATAAAAAAAATACCAGAATTGTGGCTGAGGGCCAATCTGAAGAGAACTGGGCCTCAGGTTGGAAAAGCAATACTAAGGCTTGCATGTCTTCCTGGGGCTAATGAGTCCGCTAATGGTCTCACTATGTACCTCCCTTGAGCACAAGGAGACCCTCCTGACTCAGCCTCCCACATTCAGTATTACAAGTGTTTGCCACCAGGCCTGGCTTCTGAAATGGTATTTTCACTTAACACTTTTTTTTTGGTACCGGAGATCGAACTCGGGTCCTTGCGCTTGCGCAGCAGGCGGCGAAACCACTGAGCTAAATCCCAGGCCCACAATGTGGGACTGTGTGATTCAAAAGTTAATTAGTCCCCTAGGTTCTGTTGTAAATTTGATGGTTTGAGTGTGTTTGCCTCGGGACAATGGACAATCAGTAATAGGGCGAGATTACTCAGCCATCTGTTTGCCCTAAAACCAAATGTCCCTGGGCCCAGTATCTATAGGACAATCTGTAAATGTGCTGACTATCCACACAGGGTGGTCGTGACTATTAGTCAGGATGTCTGCTGACCATCAGCATGTGACAGTGAGCCACTAACCTTTGTTCTTTTCTTTCTGTAAATCTACATGTTAAACCCCTCCCCTCAACCCCCTATAAAACAGCCTCGGGCTCTGGGCCAGTTGCCTCTCTGAGCTATTTTGCTTCTGGAGTGCCGTCTGGCCAGACTAATAAAGGTCTATTTTCCCAACATGGCCGGTGTGTTCCTTCCCGGGTGGCCTTTGCTGTAGTCAGCTCCTTGGAGCATTTGGTAAGGCCTTGGTCTTACATTCTGGAGGCACCGCTGGGATCCCTGGGTGTGCTTCACTATAGTCAGCTCCTCGGAGCGTTTGGTAAGGCCCTTGGTCTTACAACATAACACTTTTTTTTAATGATCACATAGAATTAAAATAATAAAACAAAGAAAACCGGAAAAAACAATGTGAGATTATACTGTATTACCGTCACCTGGACAAATGAGACCCAGGTAGGCATCAGACATATAAGTAGGTGACCAGAACATCTAAACCCACACTCTCCTACCTTTCTAAGAATTTTTTTTTATCTTTCCATGTACCCTTGCTAGAGGACTATTTTCCTATTGGATCAATTTCCAGTTTCCCTATTTCTAATGTTCCTATTTCCAATTTCCCTACTTCCAGTTTTCTATTCCCCTATATCCAACTATAGCCCTGTTGGATCAATGTTAGCTAAATGACTATACTTGTGATCCTATAGGTTGATTTTAGTTTCACCCACGTGGTTCCCACTTTGTGACTTTGCTATGTAAATTACCCCTGACAAAAGACCTAGGTGGAGATCCCTCCTGGAAATCCAAGAGTTATCCTTCTCCCTGTTTCCAATAAAACTCTCCTAAATTCCTTCATTTGTTCCCAACTTCATTTGAGACCACAGAATCAGCACATCTGACATCTAACAGGTTAAGAGTTATATTTTCCTATATCAAGAGCAGCCTAAGGACAGGATTGAATAGAACAAAATAGTCCACCTAGGTTAAGAGCTAATTCAAGCAGCTAAACAAAGTTTAGAAATGTAAAGGAAAACACAAGAACAAAAGATAAAAAGTTAGGACAGGACTAGAGAAATGAGAACCTTCCTCTAAAGAAGGAGGCAGTTCGTCCTTACCAAGCTTAGAAATGCAAAGTAACCAGTTTGCTATGAACCAGTTAAATAACTGATTTCCTTTAAACCCTACACCCACAAAGCCATCTGTTTAAAATAAATCCCCTAAGCTCTGCCTAATAAGGCCAAAACAAAGAAAACAAAGTAGAATTCTATCCCCTCTTGGTGAGTATCCAAAAAGACCTTTTTTTTCTTATTAATTCTAATATGCCCTCTCCTAAATTCCTCCTTTTGTCCATGATTTTACTCTTCAATTTAATGAGACAAAGAACTTAGGTTTTTACAAAATTAACTTTCACTATTACTGGTTTTCTTGTAGCAACTGTTTCTGGGCAGAGAAAATAAATTACAGAAACATTTTCATTGTTTATACATCCAACCATCAACCCATCCATCTATTTACTCTCTCATCCATTCATTCATTCATTCATCCATTCAACCAATAATTGTGAAAATCTATTGTTCTAAACCTCAAAATGATTACTGTGAACAAAATCAACCTCCTCTTATTGTCAAATATATTTAATGAAGTCAAAAAAGCAATTAATAAATGTAAATATATAGCAGGAATAAAGAAGGAAAATAAAGCAAAATAAAGAAATTGAAAAAGAGTCAGTCCTATTTTACATTCAAAGATAGGAAAGTCTTAATGTAGGGAAAAAGGAAGTCATGGGGCATCATGGCAAAGAGCATTGCAGAGAAAGGGAATAAACAAACTTTGATTCTATTCCATAAAGATCAATATTTTGCATAAATCCTCTCATCACATCAGTAAAGGAATGTTATTACTTCAAAAAATCTTACAATGCATTTACTGGCACAATAATAAAATTAGCTTCTTAAAAGTAATATTCTGACACTTTCTAAAAACATTAAAAGAACATTATCCTGGGCCGGGGATTTAGCTCAGTGGTTCCACCGCCTGCCTCGCAAGCAAAGTCCAGAGTACGATCCCCACTACCAAAAAAAAAAGAACATTATCTAACTTGTGTTTAGAAAAATAGTTTATGTGTAAGTATGAAAAACAAAAACAAGTCTGAAATGTAAGCTCATGCCAAGCCACACAGTAAAATAAAAGTATAAAGTGCTTGTCTTTCAATACTGCATTTAGTGACAACATGAAATGAAATATATAGAAACAATAACTCTTCTATAGAGAGACAGTATTCTCTTTACTGGAGCAGAGTGCATTTAACTGACACACCAGGAATTCTGCAACTAGTTCACCATGTCTCGTACGAGGAGCACAGTATTTCTAAGGATTTTACAAAATCATGCTGCCTTGTGCCACTGTGAAGACAAGATTTGAGCACAGTTTTCTGAACCAGGGCTATTCAATTTAAAGATGTAAAAATTACCCCCAATGCAGAAATTAGGAGCACAAACTTACTGAAGTGAAAAGATAGCTACAAGGTCATGCTTAGACAAGTTTGCTTTCTCTCTCTCTCTCAAACACACACAGGCATGCACGCGTGTGCACACACACACACACACACACACATACACCCACTTCCATGGAACAAGTCCAACTCATTAAGTAATTTTATCTAGTACTTGGTAGAGTACAGCTTAGAAGAAAATTATAGCATGCCCTAGGACCTTTCTGGTCAGTCACAAGTAATAAAAGTTCTTAAATGTATAATAAAAATGTCTTCCAACATAATTGTCAAAACTTCGCGTGATTTAGTATTAAGGCTTTTCTCTTTTGCTGTGGTGGGGAGTAAAGAATTCAGAAGCCTCAAATCAGGGAACTATTGAGAAAGAGTTATGTTTCTATTCTCCATCATCTCTTCTTGCTTCATTCTTTTATTAACGGTCTACATTGCAATCACAGAATGGAATGATGGATAAGTTGAAAAGCCCTTGTTAGGCTGGCATAGAAGCTGGCTGGTGTTTAAAGCTTTTGCCCAACCACCAGGACTCTCGTCTCCATTCTACCAGATGAGAATGATGCCTTTTCCTTTGACCTTTGCTTCCAGAGCCTTTAGCATCAAATGACTGTTCTCACTTCTCCACATAGGATCTCAGTGGTTCTAGGCAGAATTTACAATGACCCACTTTCTCTCATATTCCTGCATGTTCCATATCTGACCTACAAAAAAAATCATCTTGCATA